AGGGGGTCCAGGACACCAGAAGCCCTCCCACTCCCCCCCCCCCCCCAAGCACCAAGAATACAGAGCATCCCTTGCCCCAGAGCGAGAGTTCCTATCTATACCTTGTGGCTAATAGCCACTGATGGACCTCTGCTCCATATGCTTATCTGATTCCCTCTTGAAGCCGTCCGTGCTTGTAGCCATCACCACCTCCTGTGGCAGTGAATCCCATGTATTCATCCCTCTTTGGGTGAAGAAGATCACCTCTTGGGTGAAGAAATCGCCTCTGTTCTTCTCTTGACCCGAAAACCCCTATGGGGTCACCATAAATCAGCCACAACTTGACAACGCTTTCCACCACCGTGGGAAGGCTTTGAATATTCAAAAGTGCCGAAGTCAATGGTAAATATTATTACATTCTGACTGAAAATGTACTTCTGTGTAGCTGAAAGAGGAGAGGATGCAGTGGATTCCATATGGTGCTGGCTGACAAGCACAGTCGCTAATGCACACACAGCCAAAAAAAAAAGTCTCAATTTACACAATGACTCAGCAGAAAAAGGCCAAAGGCTGGAGGCACAGCAGCAGCGAAATCTCTGCAAGGGGCTGCGCTCGGTGATTTCAGCTAGCAATTTAATCCTGGTAACAGATGTTCTTACATTTGGTCCTTCAAAAGCACAGTGCTTTGTAGAGTTGGTCGTCTCTCCTCTGCCTTACGGGGTAAGATGGTTTCCTCAGGAGAGAACGGCTTACAACGAAAGCTGGTTTGATACTAGTTCTTGGCCTGAATTGTTTTAAATCACACCAATCAATGATTTAAATCACTGGAAACAACCACCTCCCCAACAAGAGTGATTGATACCGACCTTCCAGTTTTGAAAGTCACTTTATTTATCAAACAACACAGTGACTGATGGCCATGAACTGTAAAAGGTATTGTTGCTAGTAAACAGAACCTTTATAACGACCAAAGAGCAGGATCCAAAACCCTTTGCCGTGTGGCCCACGTGGCTTTTGCATGCAGAATTATACCAGCTAGGGACAAAAGAGAAGTGAAACCTTTAACGTTTCCCCCTTGGCCCTCTCTCTTTTGCACATGTCTCAGTACGTTTGATAGATCTCCATGCATCAGTTTCAAGAGACAACTATGGTAAGCTTTAACGTGATTGCTTGCTTTAAATTGAGATGCATTCTGCATAAAAAACCATTTTTACAAGCAAAGAATGTAACTGAAACATTAAAAAAAATAAGTTTCTAATTGCCAATTTTTATAGACCCAGGTGGCTCTACTTCTGCAGATTGCAGAGCAGTGCTTACCCCAGCAAACGTACTCCCCCCCCCCACCCTTTGCTGGCAGGATCTCTGAACTACATTTGGTGCCTTTTGTGGTGCGACAACAGGCTCTCTCTTGCATATTGCCTCGTTAAAATTAAATTTCAGCAGGCGCAGGAAGGAGGTCCCTGTGAGTCGACATCCATCTATACGGATTGTCAGAAATCAGAGTATTGTAAGCGGGTCTGCAGCCAGACCACCCCCACCCACCCCCCAAGTGCCAGGACTAGTATGAAACCCTAGAAGCACGCTCAGTCCTGAAATCACTATTGATTCTGTGCTGTTAAGGGCCTGAAAGCGCTTCATTGATTTGGCCACGTCCAAGCAGATGCCTCATTGCCTCCCTCCCTATAGGCCGGCAGTGTTGAATGCCTGCTTAAACAACAAGGGAGTGCATTAAAGACTAATAGGTCTATTGCGATACGAGCTTCTGCAAGCCAGATCCAACGTCACCAGATCCATGAAGTATATTATCTTCAGTCAGCAAGAGTGTGTGTGTGTGTGTGTGTGTGTGTGTGTGGGTGAGTGAGTGAGAGAGAGAGAGAGAGAGAGAGGGGGGGGGGTGATTTGATAATAAAATGAGATGAGAAGCAATGCTGGGTATGTCAGAACACAAATGAAAACAAGTTCCAGTCAAAAGGGTTGAACACAAAAAAACAAAAAACAGGGGAACAGACGTGACCCACTCCGAACTGAGGATACATTGACGAAGCAAAATGAATAATGTATATTCATATACATGAAATAATGTATAAAGAGGGACAACTTCTTACTGTAGTGAGCTGCACCCTTCCCAGTCCCTTATGAATCCAAGAACGACTGTGTCAAATTGCACATCATCGCCAACTCAGCAGCTTCACGGGGAACCTCTTCCTCTGAAACCCTTTCCTTGAAATACGGCAACTTTCAAGCCTGTTACAGCAACTACTGGGGGTGGGGGAGGACTGAAAGACCACCCACTGGCTTCCGAGAATTATCCTTCAAAGCCATCTGAATTGTACATTCTGTTGTGTAGGGCTTGCTTGGGAGGGAAATGGGAGAAGGACACTGCTAGCCCTCGGAGGGATATGAGGTTGCCGGCTGCCTGCAGGAAAACTATCCTGTCCCCGCTACAGAGGATAAATGGGAGGTTATCTACTTCCGTGCCGTGAATAGCTTCAGCTGACCATTCCACCTCCTAAGCAACCCATACATCCCACTGGAAGACTTTGCCATGTTTTGATGCGTCAGAGGAGTTACCCTACCCAACACAGTTTAAGATGCGCGTATATCAGCGTTTAATCACAGAGAGCGATTCAAATGTGGGATTCGCTGCCACCAGAGGCTGTAGTGATGGCCACAGGAATAAACAGCTTTGAAAGGGGATTAGACAGATCCATGGAGGATGTCTATCAATGGCTACTAGCCATGGTGACTGAGGGGAACCTCCACGTTCAGAGGCACCAATCCTCTGAATCCCACTGCCAGGAGGCAACATCAGGGGAAGGCCTCTATCTCTATGCCCTGTTGTTGGCCCTCCAGAGGACCTGGCTGGCCACTGTGTGAGACAGGATGCTGGACTAGATGGACTATTGGTCTGATCCAGCAGGGCTCTTCTTATATTCTTATGTGTTGTCCGTGTACACAGTTTAAAGACTTCTAGGAGGAAAGATGCTTCTGTACGTAACAAGAGAGGTCCTCGTACATCACAGGATTCCCCTTTCTTCTTAAACCTCTTTGCCACCATCCGATATCTCTAGAAATACAGTATGGCTCAGCAAACGCAGGGATCGCTTGTGGGGGTATAGAAGATTCCAGTTCAAAGCACCGCTCACTGAAGCTCACTTGCTTCAGGCCACCCCTGAGCCCGCTGAAGAAAGGGCAGGAAAAGATAAAATGGTGCTATGCGGCCCAGCATCGCTCCGATTGGCAGTCAAGGGCCTCAGGCGGAGCCAGGGGGCGAACCTTCTACTAAAGCACAGCACGAACTCTACCATGGCTCTATGGCAGGTGCAGACAACTCCCGGCACGTGTGCCAAACAGCAGCACACCAGACCACTTTGCTTGATGTGAAAGGCCAGTCTTACACCTGAAGCTGCCTTCTACTGAACCAGACCCTTGCTCCATCAAAGTCAGTATTGTCTACTCAGACTGGCAGCAGCCCTCCAGGGTCTCAGGCAAGGAGTCTTTCACATCACCTACGGCCTGGTTCTTTTAACTGGAGATGCCGGGGATTGAACCTGGGACCTTCTACATGCGAAGCAGATGAGCCACAGCCCCTCCCAGCACATACGAAGCTGCCTTATATGGAACCAGACCCTTGGTCCATCAAAGTCAGTACTGGCTACTCAGACTGGCAGCAGCTCTCCAGGGTCTCAGGCAGAGGTCTTTTGCAAACACCTTCTGCCTGGTCCTTTTCAACTGGAGATACTGAGGACTGAACCCAGGACCTTCTGCATGCCAAACAGATGCTCTACCACTGAGCCATAGCCCCAGTGAACAAGGTAAGCCCTTAGTAGTAGTTGTCATGAGCTCCTAAGGTGCTGGCGACACTAGCGGGGTTGAGCTTCGCTCCCAGTACATCAGGCCAAGCCTCATCTCTCCCCCTTGACTTTTATTTGCCAGCACACCAACATCTTACCAGGTAGACACCGCAGGATTTTTGGCACTCCGGCCAAAACAGTTGCTCCCCCTTGAGCTACAGCTTTTCCATCCAAACCACACTCAGGAAAAAAGACACCTGCTGTAAACAAGCATGGACGGCTTCAAGAGGGAACTGGATAAAGATATGGAGCAGTGTTCTATCAGTGGCTATTAGCCACAAGATATAGGTAGGAACTCTCAGGCTGGGGCAAGGGATGCTCTGTATTCTTGGTGCTTGGGGGGGGGCAACAGTGGGAGGGCTCCTAGTGTCCTGGCCCCACTGCTGGACCTCCTGAGGGCACCTGGTATTTTTGGCCACTGTGTGACAGAGGGTTGGACTGGATGGGCCACTGGCATGATCCAGCATTGGCTTCTCCTATGTTCTTATAGGAACTCTCAGTCTGGGGCAAGGGATGCTCTGTATTCTTGGTGCTGGGGGGGGGCAACAGTGGGAGGGCTCCTAGTGTCCTGGCCCCACTGCTGGACCTCCTGATGGCACCTGGTATTTTTGGCCACTGTGTGACACAGTGTGTTGGACTGGATGGGCCATCGGCCTGATCCAACACTGGCTTCTCTTATGTTCTTAAACCCCATCAGGCAGGAATGAACTCTTGATAAAATAAATTTCATGCACACAGGTCAAGCCTAAAATGTGCTGACCTGAGAAACGTGCTTAGGATAAAGCGTGCCGGCAGCAGCTGTAGCTCACTACTGCACACACTTGTGCTTAGGACTGCTAGGCATCCCAACAAAAGGCCACCCTCTACAACATCTCATGTTTATTCCCTTCGTAAGTGCAACGTTTTATTGGCGTAATTAACATTAATAATCCACAAACTCAAGCCGTTATCACATCATTATTATGCTATGGCGAGGCAAGATCACGCTTTTCTGCTGAGCAGTAATCTCCACTGCATGAACAGCAATGGCTTGATATCTTGGGACACGGTCATTTTCTGCAAGCAATCGGCAGCTTAATCTGCTGGGCAGTTCCCCATAGCAAATATTTAGTTCTGTTGTAGTTCCCCACCACCGCCACCAAGGCAATGTCTACATCGCAAGGCCAATTGCCAGAGTGAAACAGAGTGAGAAGAAATAGCGTGTTAGCAAACAAGTATGACATGCTGGATGCCAGGAAAGACTTCTGATTAGCCGGGGGGGGGGGGGGTCAAACCACGCACAATGCATTGGAGGCATACAACTTACACAAAACACCACTTCCAACTCACAAATCTTTCAGACAGAGCACAACAGTCCCTTGCGGCTTTATAAAATTACAAATCCATTTGCGTTAAGAGTCTTCAAGCAGCATGACAAAGCAAAGGCCAAAGCCCAAGACGCACTCTCAAGCGTTTGTTGTGTAGTGCTTCCAAGAGCTCAAAACACTTCATGGACATTATAAGAAAATAAGAACATGAGAAGAACATGGAGGTTCCCTTTAGTCACCATGGCTAGCAGGCTCTGATAAACCTCACTCTCCTCCATGCATCTGTCTAATCCCCTTTTAAAGCTGTTTACTCCCTGTGGCCATAACTACGTATTTTCCAATGAGTTTCACAATGGCCCCACAAGTCAGACCAATGCTATTATCTTCAGTTGGGAGAAGGGTTGAGAGGGAGATGCTTGCCTGAGGCTGGTTCCCAACCTCCAGGTTGGGGCTGGAGATATCCTGGAATTATAACTGATCTTCAGATGACAGAGATCACTGTCCCTGGAGAAAACGGTTACTTTGGAGGATGGAATCTATGGCATTATATCCTGCTATTTGGCCTTGCACATCAAGCGAAGAGCCAGTTTGGCGTAATGGTTAAATGTGCGAACTCTAATCTGGGAGAACCTGGTTTGATTCCTCACTCCTCCACTTGCAGCTGCTGGTGTGACCGTGGTTCAGTCACAGGTTCACTCAGAGCTGTTCTCTCAAGAGCCATCCTTGAAAGAGCTCTCTCAGCCCCACCTACCTCACAGGGTGTCTGTTGTGGGGAGGGGAAGGGAGTTTGTAAGCTGCTCTGAGACGCCGAGTGAAGGGTGGTGTATAAATCCAATCCAATCTCTTCTTCTCTTCTCTGCTAAGGCCTCTCACCTCTCCAAACCCCACCGTCCCTTGGCTCCACTCCTAAAACCTCCAGGAATTTCCCAAGAGTTTGCAACCCGAGAAGGAGGAGGAGGAGAGATCTGAACCAGGAACTTCCTGGTTCTTTAATCTGTGTCTCAGCCACTCAGCTAACCCAGCGATCGACAACATAAAATGACATCGGCAGCTTTTTGTAATCTACTTCATACCAAACTATAGATCACAATACCGAGGGGGTGGTGGTGAGAGAAGTAATGTTTATTCTGCGTATTCGAGTCCAGTAGCGTCTTAGGGACGAACACGATTTTCGTGGTATGAGCTTTTGAGAGTCAACGCTCTGACAAAGCAAGTTTTGATGCTTGAAAGCTCATCCCCCGAAAATCTTGCTGGTCCCTAAGACGCTACTGGACACGGATCCAGCTCTCCAACCACAGGCCAACACGGCCGCCCTCTGAGACTGCATGCATGTGTGTCCACGCGCGTGCGCACAAGAGAGAGGGAATGCAAAAGAGGCAGAGGCTCAGCTGGTGCTAAGATGCAGCAGCCGCGGCCTGAAAGTGTTTTTTCGGCACAAACGGCTCAACTTACCACAATTCAATATAGATGTACAGAAAGACTGCCGGAGGGGGTGGGGTTGGGGAGTCAATATCCCATGAATAATACAAAACTTCCAGTGAATGCCAGTTATACTTTTATCTGCCTGAGCTGCATGCCGTTTTAGAATTAATTTTAAAATGAACAACCCACGGACCCGGTAGCTGCAACATGGCAGTTCTTTAAAATGCGACTGAGCTGTCACTGCAACGCGGTGGGCTTGCCAGATGAACCCAGCAGTGTCCCCGGGACCACCACTTTGTGATGGCACAGAAGTAATTGCCAGTTCATGCACCGGGCAGCTGCACATAAATTGCTTGCTTGCAGCAGGGCCTCCCTGCAGGGATGTTTAAGGAGTTCTGTTGTGGCTTGTTCAAGGGCACCCCCCGCCTTTGTCTGCTGCTTTGTTCTGGTAATTCTGAAAAGAACTTGCCTTGGGTGTTCAAATGTTTGCATTTCCACCTGCAACCTGCCCTAAGCCTCCAGGGGACAGCCTGAGTCAAGCATTCGAACCAACACGTACCTGACGAGGATTGAGAGCGCTACTCTGACATCCCACCTTTCCTTTGGGCTTCTACGATGCACACAGTCATAGTTGATGCAGCCGGCATAGTTGATGTAACCTGAGGAGACAGAACAAAGCCACACATTAGCCACGGCTGTGAGAGATAATGGCCAGCAAGTCATCCTCTGGGATGGAAGTGCAGAACATCTGCAGAACGTAAAAAAACCGGGCTTGATTTTGCGAGGACTTGGGTTCCGGCCTTTGATTCACTGATGAACGCAAACGTTTACCGTCCCCCTCTGAGGGGCTGAACCTCTAGGAAAATAAGACTGTGGGGCCTCTTCGGTTTTCCTGATTGCTCTTGACGTCAAGTGTTACTTGCCGCCAACTGTTTCGTGAAATCTGAGGCTCAAACCATTTGCCCTTCACATCTGCTGTCCGGCTGTCAGTTTCCTTTTTCTCGATACTCCTCTCCCACCCAGCAGTTTTCTATTTGGGATTGTCAGTGACTATGAGCCATCCTGCCTCACATCTAGTTGTGATGTCTTTGTGCTTTCCAAACAGCAGCACCCCAGCGACTGACTGCTAGAGCAGGAACCCCAACCTCAGTGATGCCATTGGCACTTTTGGGATCTTAAGAAAGGGCAGCAGGGGTTCCCACAAACTACCTGACACGGGGGACGGAATCAGCTCTTTGCACCGGTACATTCCAGTCTCCAAAGAAAGGGGAAGGGGGTATTCCCTGCACAGCCACACAAAGAGGTCTCCAAGCTCTGAAGAACAGAGTTCTGCCTCAAGGAAGCTCATGTCAGCACAAATGCTCTTAGCCTTTAGCGTGAAGCTGAACTTCCATTTTATTTTCCATGCCCGATGACATAAGGAAGCCTGTATTTGTGGCCTTATTGATGCTACGGGCATTCTGGGGCTCTTGAGAGTGGGTAGCAGGGGCCAACACAAACTATCTGCCACAGGGGCAGAATTGGCTCTTTGCACTGGTACGTTCTAGTTTCCAAAGAGGGGGGTGGCGGCGTGTTCCCTGCATGGCCACGCAAGGAGTTCTCTAAGCTCTGAAGAAGTGAGTTCTGGCTCGCAAAAGCTCATGCTGGAACAAACAGTCTTGGTCTTTACGGTGAAACGGGACTTCTGTTTTGTTTCCCAAGCTCAAAAACTTAAGCAAGCCTGTATTTATGGCCGATATGAGGGTGTGTGGCTCTGAACTGCCTGGAAGGCATGAGTATAACACTTTGCTAGTCAACTAGTAGGGACAGGAGCAACCCAAAAAACTTAGCTTTCCCCCCTGCTGTGTTCAAGAGATGTTCCGCCAGGCATTTGGTTTTAAGGACAGCCAGGGTTTCCATCTATCTGGCACTCCTGTCTCCTGACCCTACCACAATCGGTAGCTTAGCGTCATTCTATCAGGTTGCCCACTGTATTTTTATCGTATTTCTATTGTTTTAACTGTTAATATACGTCTGTCTTTTATAGATGTACACTGCGCTGAGCCCTTCCTTGCAGGAGAGGGAGGTTTAAAAATATAATTTAATAAATAATAAAATAATGTGTTTATTTGCTTCTACTTTGCAGTTTTATTACCCTTTATGTTACCGTTAAAGCTCACTACCAAATATACATAAAGCAGGCGTAAAAACGGTTTTCTCTCGCTGTTCTTCAGACCAAAGTGTCTATATTATTACTGATTTAAGAGCTTGCACTTCAAACCTCATGCATCAGAAGCTTGTTTACTCAGAGAGAAGTCCCGTTGAGTTCCTTGGGACTTACTCCCTATCAAGCGTGCTAAGTTATGAGAGTGTATAAACTCTACCATGTTTCCTTTTGCCAGAACATAGGTCACAGAATATGAATCGGCCTCTGCACACACACAAAAAAGATGCTACTTTTGCTCTTTCTTCCACCTGAGAGATTTGCACATTCATACGTGCAATACCCAGACACCAAACAGACTTTCTCTCCCTATTTCCAAGCAAAATTAAAAAGGGAACGGACTGAGCACATTAACAACAAACACGTTATATAACACTGCTTCCCTGCCTAAGGAAAGAGGGAAGGAAGACAGCTATTTCCAATGCAAATTTCTGCATGAATGATTTGTATTCATTTAAAACGTATATTAGCCGCCTTTCTGCCTTGTAGGAATTCAAGGTGGCTCACAATGTAAAATTAGACACTATGCAGACAAAATGGAAGGGCGGAGAGGCTCACGCAGATACAACTGGGAGTTCCTATCCTCTCCTAGCGTAATCCTAAACAGACTTCAACAGACACAGAAGGGCATATTTATTTTGCAGTGCCAGACACTAACTTTCAAGCCTTGCTTGAACCACAGAGAAAGAACACAGTACCTAAACCAACAGCCAGATGTCTTAACTACAGCTTGTTTTCTGAGCCTTGGTCAAACACTGGTCCAAATATCAAAACCATGGTGAGGATTTAAAACCATGGGCTTGTGTTAACCAGCATTAAGCAACACAACTGCATCAAAACAGTGGGATTAGAGTCCCGTAGCACCTTGGAGACCAACAAGAGTTTCAGGATATGAGCTTTTAAGAGCCAAAGCCTCCTTTGTCCGAATTTTTTGCTGGTCTCTAAGTTGCTATGGGACTTGAATCTTGCTGACCGTCCTCTGAAACTATCTGCAGCAAAGTAAGGGTTAAGCCAGATTTTCGATCCCTCCAGCCTCTCTCTGGCTGCAAGGAGCCAAGCAGGTTTTGCTGGAGACTCTTGGATTCGTTATCTTGTTCTCACCGCATTTCTACTTATCTACTCCCAGTGTTTTTCTACTTACATAACACCATTTACTGCTTGTTTAACATGCTGTGTTCAAGCTTTTGTTCAGATTTCTGCTTTATTTCAGACTTCTGTCATCCCGGTCCTAATATACTGCCTACTAGATGTCTCACCCTATTGAGTTCATTGACTGAACATTGTGGAATCCGACTTGGGCTATAAATGACGTAAATAAATAAATAAATAATTCTACACGCTCCTGTGCACGTTTGGGATCTTCACCATCATTGGCAACAAAACAAGGTTACTGATAACCCATTAAACACAACGCCCTCACTGAACTTTCACATCCAACAGTCAACTTCTACTGATCATTACAAGAAGAGGAAGAGTCCAGTAGCACTTTAAAGACTAAAATAAACTGTGCCAGAGCAGGATCTTTTGTGAGTCACTGCTCATATCTGAATTAGTGAGCCAGTGACTCACGAAAGATCCTACCCTGCCACATTTTTTTTTTAAGTCTTTAAGGTGCTACTGGACTCTTGCTCCCTTATTGGCAAAAAGGTAAAGGTTCCCTTGCTCGAAAGCCAGTCGAGTCCGACTCTAGGGTTGCGGTGCTCATCTCCGTTTCAAAGCCGAAGAGCCAGCGCTGTCCGAAGACGTTTCCGTGGTCAAGTGGCCGGCATGACTAAACACCAAGGCGCACGGAACGCTGTTCCCTTCCCACCAAAGTGGTCCCTATTTATCTACTTGCAATGTCTTGCTTTCGAACTGCTAGGTTGGCAGGAGCTGGAACTAGAGACGGGAGCTCACTCCGTCATGCGGCACCCGGGTCCAGAACTGCTGAACTACCGACCTTCCACGGCCTGCAGTTCAGCATCTTAACCACTTGAGCCACCGCAGCTCTATTGGTACAGACAGATTAACATGGCTACCCATCTTGAGGAGGGAAAGGACAGTAAAGCAATAAATATGTCAAAACAGGGGATAAATGTGTAAAGGGGATAAATGTGTAAATACCTGTAATCCATTTATCCCCTATTTGGACATCTTTCTTGCTTTACTGTCCTTTCCCCCCCTTAATTAAATTAAAACAACTGTTGGCCTTATAACTTTAGCTTGTTATTTAGTCATCTTTGCATATCTTCAAACATCTTCATCATGTTATGTGTTAACTTGCCGTTCGGCTTCTGTCTATACGTTTGAACACTACCTTCCATTCCACTGTATTTGAAGAAGTGTGCATGCACACGGAAGCTCATACCGTGAATAAACCTTTGCTAGTCTTTAAGGAGCCACAGGACTCTAAATACGTTCTACTGCTTCAGACCAACACGGCTACCCACCTGGAATATTACACGAACAGTAAGACTGGGGAGGGCAGGACAATAACTGGAGAAGGACAACAACCGGAGAAGGAAGTACTTCTTCACCCAAAGAGTAATTAACTCTTGGAATTCACTGCCACAGGAAGTGGTGGCGGCTACAAGCATGGACAGCTTCAAAAGGGAATTAGATAAGCATATGGAGCAGAGGTCCATCAGTGGCTCTTAGCCACAAGGTATAGATAGGGGCTCTGGGGCAAGTGATGCTTTGTCATCTTGGTGCTTGGGGGGGGGGGGCAACAGTGGGAGGGCTTCTAATGTCCTGGCCCCACTGCTGGACCTCCTGATGGCACCTGGTATTTCTGGCCACTGTGTGATACAGAGTGTTGGACTGGATGGACCTTTGGCCTGATCCAACATTGGCATCTCTTATGTTCTTATGTAAGGACCTCAGAGCGACAGCACAACTTCCAGCACCTCCAGAGACCTTGTACATATTCCTGCGACTGCAGACATAGCTGGGGGAAATTTGTTATGGCCATCACACTTGGGCATGAAGGGGGGGAAAACCCCTGCATTCACCGAAGACTTTGAATGTGAGCACTGCTGACACTTCCAGCACAAGCAAGACTGTCACGTACAGTTATCGCTCTTTTTTAAAAAGTACTCATTAAAAACTGTCTCAGCTAAGTAGCGAGTCAGCATCTCATCTCACGTAACAAAGCCAGTTGCATTATTTCATTATTCTCTGTTCCAGGAAAGGGCTCTTCTGTGGCAACGGCAGCTGCACCAGGCTCCATCTACCTCCGAGCGCCCAATTAACCCCCTCTTGATTATGTATTCCACGTAGGCCGCTCTCAAGGTCACAGTTGCTCTACGACAGCTAGGGATGGATTCTCTGCAACCAAATATCCCGGGCGATCCTGAAGGAAACACGTTAAGCCTATTTTTAAAGACAACAAGCTGTGCTTCATGGGAAACCAATGAATTTTTTTTCAAAATATGCCTGCGTTCACTTTCCAGATCTCCATTACACTTTATACAAGTA